GGTGGGCACCTCCTGTCCCCCCGGCCTGCCCCGCCTCGGGACGGGCCTGAGCCTGGCCTTGACCCCGGCCGGGCTGGCCTTTGCTAACCAGCTCCCGACCCAGGGTAGGGACGTGGAGGTGGGAAGCAAAGGCGGGGCCAGGCCGGATGAGTCCTCCGGGGAACGAGTGGGGCGGATGGCTGTGGCCATCCTCACCCATACCACAGTCAGCACTTGACAGAAATTTGGGCTGAGAAAGCTACAAAGCTTTTAAGAGTGAATTTGGCATCAGCCTGCTGCACTGGGCGAGGGATGCTGGTCTAGCTGTGGTATGGGCTGACGTGACAACATCCATGCATCGTGCTGGTTTATGACAAGTGCCAAAGCACTGGTTTTGCCAGTCTGGGATTCCTGGAGCCCAATGCCCATGTTGCACCACCATGTTGCACCACCTGGAGATTTCCCTTTGCCAAGAAAATGGGAGCTTCTGTATTTGTCTGCCCACGTCCCCCCTCCCCAGCATCCCTCACCTCACCCGTGTCCAGCCTCTCACCAGGATCCCAGCACCAGCCCCTCAGGGACCATAACACCTCTCACCACACCAGATATTCAGGCAGATATTAATTTATCCAGGCAGATATTAATTAACCCAAGCTCATGATTGGAAAGTTTGTGCACTTCTGCTGCCCCCTACAGAATTTGGGATGGGACAGTCAGGCAGCAAATACTTTCGACACGGATTTTTGGTTTTCTTCTCTGTTCAAACATTCATAGCAAGTACAGAGTTCCAGCAATTCCCAGGTGGCAAATGGAGTACGTTTCTAATTAGGTGATCCCTCAACCACCTTTCTGGTGGTACTAATCTTCTTTAGACGCCTTCTTTTCATTTAGAAAGAAGATTGATTCAAAAGGCTTGTGACACCCCTATGTGCATATACATATTCCTGGGCAGCAGAAACTGATGGATTAGTTTTGGTAAAAGCAGGGAAAAAGGAAAGATCAGTTCTGTGTAAAGCCTTACAACTGCAAGAAGTGTGTTGTTACGCTCTTAAGGATGAAATTCAGTCCTGTACACTAGGCTTTTCCAAGAACCGAGGGCAGATCCTGATTTAAATCCTTAGAATAGGTAAAGATTTTATGTGTAGTCAGACAAGAGTGCATTACACTCTCAGACTTACGTTCTGCTTGCAGAAAACTTGCAGCTGTGCTTGCATATTTTTGTATGTGCCAATTCTTTTCTGTTGAAGATTTTTCTCTGCAATAGATCAGCCTATGCGGAAAAATGTCCATCCACTGCAAAGTCAGTGGTTTCTGACATGCTGTGCCTGATATATTTTTAAAAGTACTGCCCAGGGAAGTAAATGCAGGAGTGCTTTCTTGGTTGTGTCCTCGGAAATTATTGAGTTAGATACAAAGGTACAGATTCTAACGGTTGGGCTATTTTTAATATGTTAATGTCAGAATTCATTGGATGCAAGCAGAGGATGGTACGGTGCCAGGGAGACTGCCTAAATTCCTTAAACTTAAAGCCTTTAAATCACAACCTTAATGTAAAGTGAAAGCACCTTTTGAAAAGAATTTTTTTAAGTGGTATCTTCAATAGTGTCTGATAATAATTGATTTTTCTGCAAAATTGTTGATAAAAGCAATCAGAAAAACTCCTTCCACAGCAAAAGACGGAAAGCCAGTTCTTTACAGAGCTGGTGGGTCTTTGCCTGCTGAAAACACGTGTTTCTAAAACAGTTTGAATAATAATACCCTGTGCTCATTTTACTTGTGTTATTATCATTGGGTATTTTAAGTTCCTTGAGCTTGCCAGTTTGGGTTGGAAAATAACTCACTTCGCCAAAAAATTAAACAAAATAAGGTAGCAGAAAAGAGTATATAAGGAAAATAAAGAAGTAGTAGAGATAAGTAAAAAATCAATTGAATATCAGGTAATTTATTTTAGAGATTTTGTCTCTGCTTGCTGGTGCTTTATGTATGGTAGAGTTGTTCCTCAAGGAACATCTTTTCAAACACACTCTCAGGGTTACTTTAGACTCTTTATTCTCGTAAACACGTAGTTAGATACAGAAAGCCCAAGGTGCCAGAGTGCTGGCAGGGTTCCACCATATCCAGTGGCCAGGTATCACAACAGAGATCTGCACGCAGTGATTCCCATGGGGACATTTCATGGTAAATAACCAGCGTTAGGATTTCTGGCATCGCACTCATGACTGGTCTCTGAGACTTTCACTTCAAATAGCTCAAAACACCAGTGGTTTTCTATAGGTGGCAGTGTTTAACCTGAATGATAAACTCACTTGTGAATATGCTGGGGTAGGAGATGGAGTTTATAGGCATCCTTTGTGTCGATGCCTTATTTCAGATGCCTTATCATCAAACTGCTGCTGGTGGTGATGCACAGAGCTGGGGCTGGTGTGGAGTTGGCACTGAGCTCTCCATGGTGCCTCCAGGACACCAGGGGCAGCACCTCAGTCACCCTCTGCTCTGAGTGGTTCACTCAAAGCTCATACCCAGCACTCTGTGGAGGTGTTCAAACCCAAGATGGGAAGCTGGCCACAATGGTTTCATTCCCTAAGTAGCCGCCATCACATAGCTCCTCTCCTTACACAAACCAAGGAAGCTATGACACAACCTGTGGCACACTGAAGGTTATGGACGTTAACAGCAGCCAGGAAGCTTCTGTGTGGCTATCAGCTACAAAGTCAATACAAAGTTGCCCTTCCTTAATAATGATTGTACAGCCACACTTCCTGGCTCAAAGCAGCAGAATACTGCTTAGAGGTACTGTGGCATAACAGATCTCCAAATCTCATCTGCAATGAAGTCTTCACAACTATTTCCAAATATTTAAACAGTAACTACATACACACTGTAAACTCTACAGACTGCCATATTTCCCTGCGTTTCAGATGGGAAGCTAACTGGCATTTTGTTCACAGCCTTCACCCATTAAAGCAGAGAAAACAGCTAAAAATGTGGTTCTTACAAATGCTGAAGATGACTTACACTTTACTTGGAGGTGAAATTTAGTTTCTACTGAAATAAGGCCACAAAGCATTATAGCTACATCCTCCTCATTAATCAATTCAGAGCTGAAGGAATTGATACCAGAACATCAGCAGTCTGCAGGGTACATCAGGGTATTTTCTGAAAGATTTCTATTGCTCATCCTACAGCCCATATTATCACCATGAGAGCAAAGGCTATTCCTGCAGCAAATTCCATCTACTTCGTGACTCAGCTTTGAATGACAGCAGAAGAGAAAGTCACATACCCATACGGATACGTTCTTTACCTTCTGTCATACGCTGGTCTGCGCTAGTGGACTGGTCATACTGCACTGGCACCGATGATAAACAGAGCCCATACACGAACAAACCACCTACAGTCTTTTAGAGTACGCAGCTTTAAAGATCTAATTCATTCTGGGAATCGCTTAAATTCAGGTACTTCCTCAGACAGTAATGGTATTTGTTGGCACCAGTGATACTTAAGAGTTGTGGATATTTATTTTTTCTAAACACCCACTTTTCATTAAGATTTTCAGTTCCAAATCATTGCCTATTCCTCCAGCATTACTTTTTCAGATACCAGTAAAAGATCAGAGATCTTTTTAAAGGTTAACTGCCTCTGTATTAAAATATAATGGCAAAAAAGTAAACATCTTATTACAAAATTATGGAAAACAAGAAAGAAAAAAAAAGTTTATTTCCAGACATACAAAACACCTATTCTCTCATTTCTCCATCTTCTTCCTCTTCTTCCACACCTCTGATGTACAAAACATTATTACACCTGTAAATAGAAACAAGAGTTCCCTTAGTGGTAAGTATTGTCATTTTCCCCACATATACACTACTTTAAGCATTTTAGCACGGCAACAGCCAAATTCTACACAACAAATTACTGCTGTTGGCCTTGTGCAGCTTTTCGATAAAGTTCGTTACAATTGAAAAAACCTCAAGTTTTTACAAGTAGTAGCTGACAATGCTGTACAATACAATTTTACTCTTGAGTTAGCAGTTGTGGTCAAGTATAAATGTCCAATCACGCAAAATGTTTTCAGTAGCAATACACTACTATACTCCATTAATGCAATGGGATTAACACATCTACAATAAACTGGAAAAATTAAGGTATTTAGTTTCCTGAAATAGGGATTGTAAACACTGCTTTACAAATACTTCAAAATTCTTTTTCCCTCCCCTCAGAAGGGATCTCATAGCCTTCACATAAGAGTTATATTAACACTTAGCACCTCAGTTAGACAACATCAACACAGCATCTAGCAAGTGATAAGAAGATTTAAAGAAAACCTGCCTCCGCCATAAATACCCGAATTACCTTATCAAAACTTCGCCCAGGTGTCCAGACAATGCGCCATCTATATACTCTTCTGTGTTTGCAAGCTTGAGAAGAAAACCAGCAAAGCTCAAGATGATTATAACAGAAGAAAGTTCGCAAAGCACATAACGGTTTTGTGCTGCAGCCCACAGTGCAGTTGCGGTGACTAGGGGAGACCAAGCCACCCTGCTCCCACCCCACACAGCACCCACCAGCCAGAAGCCTTTAGGAGTGCTCCACTTTGTCCTTCGCCCCAGGCACCTCACTGTGAACCCCGACGGTTCCCGGCCCTCACCTGCATGTTCATGTAGCCGTCGACGGAGACGAGGTAGCCCTTGTACTCCATCCCCCACTTCAGCTTCACCATCACCGGCTTCCCCGTCAGCCCGTT